TAAATTTGGAAATTAACAATGCTGTATATTTTAAATATTTTAATCATACTATTTACCATATATTACATATCAAATTCATGTTATACATAATACATTATAATACATACATATTTTAAATATTAATTCATATTATGTGCATTTTGTTTTCAATTTTGCTCATAGAAAGTCATGGACTCTAAACCAGAGATAAATCTTTACTGTTATGGAAACTATATTGTTATAAAGTGATTATAACTGATTAATAAAAACCATGCAAACATATCATGCACTGTAAAAAATGAGCGTGATTTTAACGGTAAAAGACGGTAAAAATGCTACAGTGAAAAACTGTTAATTGGTTAACAGAAAGTTTCCTTACTATATACGGTAAATAACTGTGATAGATCTAACGGTACATTTAATATAATTTTACTGTAAAATACCGTTAAATTTACAGTTTTTGAAAGTGAAAAAGAACAACTCATTGTATAATTTACAGTGAAAAACCGTAAATTTACATTCCCACAATTCCCTGCGTAAGACTTCACATTTGAAATAACTATGTTTCTTAGTTTTCTTAGTTATTTTCTTATCAGTTATGTACATTAGAGTTTTATGTTACATTTAATGTTGTTAAATTAATGTTTATTGCATTTTTTAAATTTCATGTGTTACCATGATGCTGTTTAGTGTTTGTGTAAATGAGAGCTTCTATATATTAGTGCTAACTTTCTCTGGAAGAGCTGCTTGTGATGAGCTTTGATTGATCATGTGACTCTCATCACTGCTGTGATGATTGTTGTTTGTCAGTGTATTACAATGGTACAAAACAGATATTATTACATAAGTAGTTGGAAAATTAACATTATCAGATAATGAAATACGGTTTATTACTGTAAATTTTAAGTTAAGTCTGTAAAACCAATAACGTCTGTACCATATTTTTGACGGTAAAGTTCTGGCAACCACAGCTGCCGGTATTTTACCGTAAAAATGACATTTTAATTTTTACAGTGTGGTAACAATGGTTAAGCAATGAGCATTACATTTTTGTTACACTGTTTATTAATCTCCGTTAACTGTTCATTGCTTGTTTCATTAAATTATATTAACAGACACAACTTTTTATTTTTTAATAACGTTTTAGTTCATGTTGAAATTAACATTAATTAAATGAATACATGCTTTGGGACTATTTTTTATTGTTAGTTCTTGTTAACTAATGTTTGCCACTTCAGACTGTGTTACATGACCCGAAAAGTTGAAGCCAAACAGTGTGTCTCTCTCTTTAGTGATAATCAGTGACACTTCAATCATCGACATTTCCACTGCAACTTCCTGTCAGCCGTAATCCTCTGCCTCTGGGTTTGAAGCTACCTTTGACCCCGACCCCTTTAGTTCACACACACACACACATGTGTGTATGTTCACACATGCACAAGCTCACATACAGCCCAAGGTGATCGCCTTTGCTCTCATCAGTGTGTGCTAAAAACTACCAAAAATGCACTTGACGGTACAAACCTGTTTGAGCGAGGTGCACTAGGACAGCGTGAAGGAAGTGTGGAGTGACTGATAAGCCTATAATAGTCAAACTTGTTTATTCAAGAAATAATTGTGTAAAGAAAAGGATGTGAGGATGTGTTTTCTTTATAGAAAATAATAGGACAAATCAGCACTCCTCTTTAAATTTGTGACTTTATTCAAGTTGTGTCATAGATTATAATGATCAATGTATTACCAGTTTTTTAAGGCACAACCCAGGTAAATTACACTTTTATTGACTGTTTTATTGTCTTGAAGTTGACCCAGGCCTATAAAACGGCTAAGTACATTTTTCACAGACTTTTTGCCACAAGCAATTTCTACAACACGACCGTTTCCACTGTGTTTTGTGTTTTATTTCGCTCCGTTCCATATGTACATCTGTATACCGTGAACATGAATCTGATTCATAAAGTGTCAATGCTGGTGATTTCATGCCTGCAACACAACTGCAAGGTTGTGCATAAAAATATACTTGGTTGATGTTAAGATGTAACTGGTATTATAAAATATAGACTTATCCTACTGCGATGAACATATACAGTACATATACGTAGAGCACATTACATATGCTTGACGCACAAGAACAAAACTTACTGCTCGCACATCAAGCACGCACGTTTGAGTTTCAGTTTAGCATATTTGAAAGTGTTGAGACTTTCATACAAAGAACAAAGAATAATGCATGAGAAAATATTAAAATATCTTCATTTGTGTTTTGTGTGAAGATTAATGAAGTCTTATGGGTTTGGAACGTCATTAGGGTGAGAGAATGGTGTCAGAATTTTTAGTTTTGGGTGAAGTATGCCTTTAATCCCTGTTTAGCACTTAAACGTTTGCAGGATTGTTTTGAATGAAATATACTGTAATTGCTAACTTTTTTTATTTATTATTTATATATTACACTAGTGCTCATCATTTTGTGAGATTTCAGAGGACATGCCAAAATTTCTGGTAAGTGAACATTGTAAAAAAAAATTAACCAAAGAGTTTCGATATTTTTCCCATTTAAAACTTGACTCTTCTGTAGTTACATCGTGCACTAAGACCGACGGAAAATGTAAAGTTGCGATTTTCTAGGCTGATATGGCTAGGAACTATACTCTCATTCCTGCGTAATAATCAAGAAACTTCACTGCCCGTACCATGAGAGCAGCAGGCGTAATGATATGACGCAGCGCCTGAAAATAGGCCACCTTCCGTCAACACAAAGGAACTATTTTCAGGCGCTGCATCATATCATTACGCCTGCTGCTCTCATGGTACGGGCAGTGAAGTTTCTTGATTATAACGCATTATGATAATATCGAAACTCTTTGGTCATTTTTTTTTACTCTTTTTACTTTTTTTTGCTCTTGTCCACTTCAATGATGTATGCTAAGCTATGCTAAAAGTGGTACCGCCAGAACCGGAGATCGGCTGAATGGATTCAAAAACGGTAAAACTCAACAGTTTAACTCATGGGGGAGTTGTAAAATGAGCCTATTTCCAAAAAAAAGTGGAGTATCCCTTTAACCTAAACCTAAAACAGACATGTGCACGCGGCGGCCATTTCACAAGATCGCAAGTGCACAAGAAGTGTACAATTTAGGACAGGATCTTTCAGTGTTTCTACTTCAAAATTGCATGTTTAATTGAATGTGATACTTGCTATTTTTTTATTATTTGTAAAATTTACCAGCAATTTCTCAGTGAAAACAGCTTCAAAGTAACATGAATTTTCTTCTCAGTGTTCTATGTAGCAAATCAACAAACATGAAATCATCATATCAGACCTCCAAAATTAATGGCATCTTTATTAAATGTTATTAAATATGCAAACACACACACATACAATAAAAATGACATAACGTTTGGGTGGAAAAGGATTCTCCTCAAATATCTATCTATATAGTCTTCTCCTCCAAAAACAAAGGTATAGTCACCCAATACAATTCAGTATGTACACCAGAAAAATAGTGTTTTTTATATCAAAGAAGGAATATATTTTCAATATTTGTTGTTAGCCAAACACAGAAAAAAACTATACAAATAAAATCTTTTGCAAAAGGCAACATTGGTTTGAAAGAGCTTATGACATGCAGGATAGAAGAGGCTGTGATGTATTAGTGGGCCGTCAGTCAGATGTAGGCATGTGCCGAGCTCCCGCGGGCTTCGACATGTCCCGCAGATTTTCGTTTTTCTTGGCCGTTTTTTTTTTTTTTTTTACTAGTTCGAGTTTGATTTATTAATTGCTTTGCGTCCCTGACAGATTAAGTGGTTTTTCTTACAGTAATAAAACCAGCCTGCACTTAGTGGTGTCATACTCCGCCACACCACAGAGGGGGAAAAGGGTTCAACGTTTTTTGTTCTTTTTTTCATTCAAAGGGAATGAAACGGGAAGAAACATACAATAGCTAGCATGCTCCATCTGGGAGTTCATATATCATGTGTTTCAGCCTCAAAGAATAGTACTAAATGGTCGTGCAAAGGTTATACACACACACAAAAAAAAAAGTGATTTGAAGAAAGGATACGGTTGAAATACAATGAAGTCGAAGCATGTCACGCATAAAACGAACAAAAGAAACTCCTTTTCTCTGCAAATAGAAAAAGAAAAACACATTGTCGTTTGGCAGAGAGTGGGCAATTTGGAAGGTTTACTTAAATCAATATTCCCTTTAATGTTTTCTCAAAATTTATGTTCTTTTTCTGTATAAGCTGACAGATTCTTTATCCATTGAGATGTTGAATGGATAAAGCTAATCTTTACCCAAACTGGACAATCCTGCTTTAAAAAGAGCCACATTTTCTCATGTGAAATCCAGAACTCTGTACATGTTTACACTGGTAACCCGTCCTATTAACTTTTAATGGCAGCAGCTTCGTGGATGTGTAAAAAAAGGAAAAAATACCTCAAAGGGCACTTTAGCTATTCAAATAAATGTGTTTTGGCACAGAATCCCAAGCTACAGTACACAGGTGCACTGTAAACTACAGGCGCAATTAAACAGGTACTATTTACAGGGAGAGAGAGAGAGAAACACTTACTGTTTGTTCATATAGAAGGCGCTGTACCGGTGAGTCTGTGCGATGTTGCCGTATCTGGCAGCATATTATAAAATGTTTTATAAAATACATTTCAGAAAGGCAGCTGTATGACAGAAACATTTAAAGCAATGTTGCATCGCCATATGTAGTGGAAAGTATTTGGACACTTCGGCGTACTGTAAAATGCCATTGCATTCGACAACAAAATCGGCAAACAAATGGGCTCAATGTGATTTTTGGTGGATGTGTGTAACATTTTGTCCATTTGTTTCCTCATTTAACACTTTAGCAAAACCATCTTTTTTTGTGAAATGAAACGTTTTTGGTAACACAAGCCGCTCGGTTTGATGTTTTGTTGTTTTGCAATGACACTCGCACATGTTTGTGTCTAAAGCACCCCTATACTGTTTGGTGCGTCAGGCTTGGGAAGCCGTTTAACTGTCTTTGAAAAGTCTTTCAGTAGCTGTCTTTGGTTGTGCATCAGCATGGCTGTGTTTAGCTGGTGGTCATTTCTTCTGACGGAGATGGAGGAGCCTGTTCTAGCGCCGGGGTTTCTGGACAGACCGACTCGGTAGATGCAGCGGATGAACTGAGATCTTGAGGTTGAGATTGGAAGACCTCCTCGTCTTCCACATGTTTCTCCTCCTCCACCAGTTTGGCCGCCAGCCGTTCCTCGGCCTCGATCTCCTCTGTGGTCGGGATGGAGTTCTTCTTAGGTCGGCCTTTAGGCTTGGTGGGAGCCTCGTGTCCTCCTTTTAGCACCTAGAGAAACAGGGACACGTGAAAGATGTGGGCCTAGTCAAAGGTGCGGATGGTTATTACAGTGATTAAGGGAAGATATATAGCCACTTGGGCTGGCCCTCAACGCTCGTTTTTCTCAGAGGTGAACGCGCTGTGGATCTTTTGTTCCTGCTTTGAGAGGTTGATCGCGCTGACGTAGACCTGTACCGTCCTCTAAATCATCGCTCATTTGTCCCACACACACTCACCGAGCAGCCCGGGGCCGTGGCTGTTACACACACTGATTGTATTGAGTGCTGAGAAGGGCAGCTCAACACTGTCTAATGGATTTTTAATGATATGTCTCAGAGTTTCCATTTCCACACAGAAAGCTTTGGTGGACTTTCAACACAGATGTTTTTATTGATACAAGATGACAGTATCTTAACGATCTAAGTTATCTAAGCAGACAATCCTATGAACTTGCGATGTTAGCCTTGAGCAAGCTCGTTCGACTCACCATTTTCTTCCATTTCATGCGTCTGTTCTGGTACCATGTCTTCACCTGGAGCTGAGTGAGTCCAAGAGACTGAGCCAGGTCCAATCTGCACAAACACATACAAAAGTGCAGGTTAAAAGAAAGTGCATAAATCAAACACAAATAGGTTATTATTCTGTTCTAAAAGTCAAAGAAACCAAAAGTAAAGTTTTAGTTTGACGCGCCGCGTCAAAAACTATCCGACCAATGAGATTGGCGCTTTTGCTCACGTGTCTGGAGCTTCTGAAGTTACAGTAAAACACAACTTGGGGGCGCTCAAACACAAAACGGTCTTGCCGAGCACACATACGTAACGGCGAAGAAGATATACGCCAAGTAGTGTCTACACCAAGGGGGTAATCCATCGACCGGAAGTTGAAGCCGGCCGGGTGCCGCCATGTTGTAGCAGAACTTCACTTGCGTTAGCATTTCCATTGACTCCCAGTCATTTTGGCGTCACTTTGACAGCGAATAACTTTACATCTGAGGCGTTTAAAGACTCCATTTGTCCTTTATTTATTTCTAAAGAAACACGACAATGTATAAAGGGCTCCATTACCTTCTATGTTACATTATGGCCCCGTAGAAACAGATTTAGTAAAAATAGGCTAACGATTGCGTCATAACCACTCGACTCTCTGTCGCGCTGTACAGAAATTACCGTACAGACAGGAGGAGAAGCTCGCAGGCAATTGGGGGGACGTCCCGTCAAGGGAGAAGCCCATAGATAATGAGTCCATAAAAGCAACGGAATACTTACTCCTGCTCACTCACGCCAAAGGACTCTTTGCTCAAGTTCCCCGTCTCTGCAAGATTAACGTTGGCAGTTTTCACGTACAGCTACTAGAAGATTTACATCTGTCAGACAGGTTGCTCACGTCATCAAGCTTAGTTTGAGTCAGTTTGAGTCTGCGTGTCAGGAACGGAAGTGCTCGAAAATCGCTAAAAGTGGGCTTCAACTGTCTCAACTGAGTTCCAATGAGATCGCTCTGTCCATTTCTTTTACTGTCTATGGTCTACACTGCCGGGAAGAAATAAGACGAGGAAGATGCAAGGCAAGATGAATGTAGAGCTGCTGGTCTCGTTGGTGTCGCAACATAAAGAACTATATGACAAACCCGACAGCGACTACAAAAATCTTGATAAAAGAGAGTGTTATGGAGTGGTATTGCAGAGCAAATGGGCGCCATCTAATGTCAGGGAATGAATTTGCATGTTCACTCGGCTCATCGTCAGCGAAAATCGCTTGGGTGTGAACACAAAAAACGCGTTGAAAAACGCTGCCGAATAACGCACGCCGATATTCGTCCCGGTGTGTACGAGCCTTTAGAAACAAAATTATGCTACAACCTGAGATATATATTTATGCCAATTTATAAGGTGGTATGATAATAAAAATAAAGAAAATAATTTTTTTAATAATTTTACAAAGCGGACTACTTTACCCCAAATAATGTAATTGTGAGTCAAAGTTAACCATGCCCTTTTTGTATGACATGCGGAGTGTATATCTAGTGCAACTAACCAGTGCTCAGTGCAAAAATGCTCCAAATACTTAAAATATGGGTGCAAAAAGATTACAAATTGCTTGGTTTATGTCTTTTAATAAAACTGAATGTGTAATAAGAAGCTTTTTGATTAAAAAATAAATAAATAAAAGCTCTGAAAATGCTGATTGTGAAGGAAATGTGTTTCTAGAGAACAGCCATAATTGTTCAGGCTGGGAATACATTTATTTTTTCTACTGAAGTATTTGACTAAATATATTATGGGCGACATGCTGTTTTCACATATTGTTAATACATCAAATGTATTATATCTACAGCATATATGTGTGTGTGATTCCAAATCAGACACTTGTGAGTATTGTGAACCTATAGGCAGGTGTGTTTAGGAGCAGAGCCTGCACGTGTGCCGTTCTGACCTGTGAAACCCTCAAGCAAGTCACCAGAATGACTGCAAAGAAGCCGGGAAACTTCAGAACTGGAAGTAATCGACCGAAATCCCAAAGTCACCTGTTGTCCTACACATAAAAGCCAGTGGGTGGCCATCTAGAGTGCAGATGTATATCTAATCACTGCAAAAATTCCCAAAGCTGGCATGACATATCAGAAGGTTCTGCCAAGCTCTGAACTGAAGAGTCTTCCCAGGCCGAATGTAATCGCAGACCTCCCGTGGAATGCCATCCCGCTTTATCTGTACAAGGACGAGGACAAGGTAATCCAGCTCCTGACGTGCCCGACGCCGGCAATAGTAGATCTTTTCGGGGCACTTTTAGGCATGACTAATGCAGCGATCGGTCTGCTGGAACTTGATAGGCAAGGAGGGAACATGTGAGATGGGATTTGAGGGAACGAGAGAGCCACATATCAAACAAGTGCACAGATTTCTGCGACATCTCCATTCAAAGTCACGCAGGATTACACAGCTCCTCTGTTGAGCCTCTCAGGGAGTCACACGAGGTGCAGGGATCTTCTGGAAATGAGCAGATTAACACTCGCTCTCAAAAGCCCTTGACTTCGCTCTTTCCTCTTCTCTTCCTCTTTATCTGTTTATTATCTCACACTCTAAAAAATGCTGGGTTGTTTCAACCCACATTTGGGTCAAATATGGACAAACCCAAATGTTGGGTTAAAAATGTAATTAAAAAATTTACAGTTGAAAGTTAAAGTTGAAGTTGGGTTAAAAATTTAAATTACATTTTTAACCCAACATTTGGGTTTGTCCTTATTTGACCCAAATTTGGGTTTAAACAACCCATCATTGTTTAGGGTGCAGTTTTCTTCTAAGTTGTGCATGAGACAAGTTTTCCCATTGTATGAAAAACGAAATGTTAAATGTCCTGAAATGGCAGTACTATGGTAAAGATGCTAACACTATGGTATTGTATTACGTTGCTGCAGAATACTCGATTTTGATTGGTCAATTGCTGCAAATATATTTCTATGTATTTTGAATCTGGTTATCAATTTCCTATACAGCTTTATGTCTTTCATTTTGTGGTCTCTTTTAATATAATAAAATGTTTAGTATTAATTTGTATCATTACATTTTATTATAGTGAGACTCTCTCATACATATATATATATATATATATATATATATCAACAATAATAATTCTGTAAAAATAATTTCATAAAATTAACTTTTTTCACCAGGTATTTTCATGTACTATTCATAAAGTAATACCACTGTATTTGTAGTGCTTTAGAGTAAAACATAAAAAATGTATTTATTTATTTGCTAAGTGTCACATTTATGTCATATCACACTGAGTTATGTTTAAGCAAAACTACGTATGAATTTTTTTTTTTTTTTTTTTAAGCAGCCGTCTCTGTCATTTGTGGCTGCTCTCTGTGCTGTAATTGGTGGTAAGAAAAGCACCTCTGTGTTTGTGCTTATTATTCTTCATAGAGAAACCACACACACACACACACACACACACACACTGCATTCCAATGCCGACACACTCCTTGCAACTATGAGCCTAATTTAAGCTCAGTTTGGGTTCTGACATTTATTCATAATGATGATGAAGATGATTATAATCATCTCTGCCTCATAAAAAAAAACATTCAAACTTCATGATATAAATCATTACGTTCCATATTGCAACATGTTTTTCATTGCTTTCATGTTCTGATTGTGTGGCCTAGGCGGACAAGCCAAAAACAGCTCCGGGTCGTCTTAGATTGATAAACACAAACCTGAGGCGTTTTGAGGCCCATTCCTCAAACTCGCCAGAAGATGAGGAATTCCCCTCACTTGTTTTTCATTCAGCCATGAATGAATTTGTTCGTTCCTGAGGCGAAGAGTGTGACAGAGTGATAGAGCAGAGGCTAACCATGACCTAGCGGTGAACTAAGCGGCCTTGAGCCAAAACCTCCTCAGAAACAGTTTCCCAACTGACCCGACAGCGACAGGACCCGACAAAACACACCTCTTTCAGGCCAGCTTAACTGTAGGACTGTGCATACTTGCAAATCAGGGATTTCTGAGGAAATTACTTATTATTGTAAATGAAGAATGAATAATAAATTGGTAACTATATCGGGATCAATCATGCATAGTTTTATTTTTATTATAATTATTATTTATCAGTTTGATTTGGCTGATAATATATATATATATATATATATATATATATATATATATATATATAATTTATTAAACATAATATTTTAAAACAAGCCCTAATAGATCCTGATATAGTTACCAATATATTATTTATTCATATGCTTTTTCCTGTCCTCACAATAAAATTGCCAACCTTTTTCTATATTTCTATATGAACCAATTTTCTATGGTTTTTTTTCTATGAGCTTTTTGTTTTTTTTATGCTCTTTTTTGTTTGCCAAACAATTTTGTCAGATAAATACCTTAATAAAGTTTAATGTTTTGTTCTTGTAACACTTATACAGTAAAACATTTTCTTCAAATTTTTATGATTTAAATCAAATTTTTATGATCCCCACCGGAGAACACTTTTGTTCACTACTATATATATATATATATATATATATATATATATATGTGTGTGTGTGTATACTTTCATAACTCATTTTAACTAATTTTTTGCATGGATGATCAATCAAACAATACTTCATCTTTGAGTCGACATGAGACCACAACCGCATGATGCATGGCAATATTTTCTTGTTTTATGAAAGAAAAGAGAGCTATCTGTAAAACAAAAGTGAATAAGTGGAGTGAGTGTGTAAGAGATAGTCTTGCGGCGGCTGTCTTAACTTTGCACGTCTGGTGGTGCTGACAGTTTTCAGACAATTATGTCTGACAGCTCATATGTCGCTGAAGGACAGAATCCATCCTTAGGCTGTGTCTGACCAAAAATTCAGAGAATTGTGCAAGTGTGTGGCAGACACGCTCAGATTCCTTGTAGGTGGGACAGAACTGATTTTGTGGGATTTTTACCCAAATACACCCTTTGGGCTCTAATGGAAACACATCCACTCCGGCCAAATCTAAACGCAGAGCCAAACTGAAATGGAAAATGTGTTATTGCCGGTAAAAAAAAAAAAAAAACTGTCCCATGCGAGAAGACCCACGACACGTAAATTACCTCATCTCATTGTACAAAGCCCCAAAGTTTTTTAAATACACCTGCGTGTGCTTTAAATGATTGGCATGAAATCAATGTAATACATTTTTGTTTGCTTTTCTTGGCATGTGTCCCTGTTGTCTTGAATGGGGTAGTGTTTCTTTTAAAGGCTTCTTTTGCTATTCCAAGCATGGCTGAAATGTTACTGTCGTCTTAACTAATATACTGAGCGATGCAATAGTTTGGCTGACAGTGATTTGCTTCAGGTTAAAGTGTTTATTTCAGCCTTTATATGTGCACTATGAATTATTTTCATGTATAGCATATCACATTTACTCTGCTTTCTTAAAGTCAACATGAAATCAAATCCCTATGTTTCATTGTGCAAGATTCATCATTGCACATTGGCAAATTAAAAAATATTTTTTCCATCATATAATGCCAGTTTGGTATGTTCAAATCAATTTGCAGAATAAATGTAAATAAATATTTAAAAAAAAGTAATTTTCACTTTTTTCAGTATAACTCCGACAGACCACGAATGGAGAAATGCCCTCGCGAGCTGTAAAATGGAGTGTAAAAGGCCTCTCTGCGAGCAGCCACGGACCTGTCGGGAGTGGAGAGGTATTTCTGCTTCTGGAACTTCTTCTCCAGGCCCAGGAGCTGCAGCTCAGTGAAGATGGTCCTGCTGCGGCGGGGTTTCTTCAGTCGCGGGGTGGAGTGCTCCGTCTCGGACTCGCTGCTGATGCTGACGGGGGTCTTGCTGTGCGCGGGCTCTGAGCTGAGCGGGTGTTGGGGTGAGAGAAGGGGCAGGTGTGGAGACTGAGGCTGGTGTGTGATCACGGAGAGGAGAGGGTACGACCTCAGAGGGGTAGAGCCTGGGAGAACACAGTCAACAAAACGCGTGTTAGCACTGATAGCACACACATATCCACAGACGTTGTTGGCGGAGAGCATTAATGAATAGGCAACTCTTTATAATAAGGTCACATTGATTAAAATGTGTAACTCAAAAGCAATGTCGACGGCCGCGCCAAACACTGTAGGCTGGTTTCACATTCCTCTGGTGCGCAGGCCTCAAAATCAAATCATAATTAAAAAAAGGCTCGAAATTATGGAAACTTGTTTCCGCCACGGAATGAAAAAGCTGATTGCTGACTTTTTTCACTCGCAATTCTTTATATCTTGCAGTTTGGACTTTATTTCTCACAATTCTGAGTTTATATCTCAAAAAAGAAAACAATTCTCTCTAATTCTGAGTTTAAATCTCACAATTCTGAGTTTATATCTCACAATTCTGTCTTAATTTCTCACAATTCTGAGTTTATATCTCACAATTCTGTCTTAATTTCTCACAATTCTGAGTTTATATCTCACAATTCTGACTTAATTTCTCACAATTCTGAGTTTATATCTCACAATTCTGTCTTAATTTCTCACAATTCTGAGTTTATAACTCACAATTCTGTCTTAATTTCTCACAATTCTGAGTTTATATCTCACAATTCTGTCTTAATTTCTTACAATAATGAGTTCATAACTAGGAATTCTGTCTAAATCTCACAATTGCAAGTTTATAACTCAGAATTTTGACTTTTTTCTCATAATTGCGAGTTTATAACTCAGAATTTTGACTTTTTTTCTCATAATTGTGAGTTTATAACTCAGAATTTTGAATTTTTTCTCACAATTGCGAATTCATAAAAAAAAGTTAGGATTATGAGATATAGACCTGCAATTAAAAAATGTAATTGCAACTTTTTTAACTCGCAATAACTTGAAGTGCTTTATATCTTGCAATTTGGAATTTATTTCTCACAATTCTGAGTTTATATCTCAAAAAAGAAAACAATTCTCTCTAACTCTGAGTTTATATCTCACAATTCTGACTTAATTTCTCACAATAATGAGTTCATAACTAGGAATTCTGTCTTTATTTCTCACAATTGCGAGTTTATAACTCAGAATTTTGACTTTTTTCTCATAATTGCGAGTTTATAACTCAGAATTTTGACTTTTTTCTCACAATTGCGAATTCATAAAAAAAAGTTAGGATTATGAGATATAGACCTGCAATTAAAAAATGTAATTGCAACTTTTTTAACTCGCAATAACTTGAAGTGCTTTATATCTTGCAATTTGGAATTTATTACTCACAATTCCCAGTTTATAGCTCACAATTTGGATTTTGTTTCTCAGAATTGTGAGTTTATATCTTGCCTTTCAGACTTCTGAATTTATAACTCACAATTCAGATTTTTTTTTCTCAGAATTACGCATTATAAACTCGGAATTGCGAGAGAAAAATGCAGAATTGTGAGATATAAACTTGCAATTTATAAAGGTAATTGCAACTCTTTATCTCACAATTCAGACAAACTCGCAATTTTGACTTTTTTGAAGAAAAAAATGTGCAATTCAGACTTCTTTCTCAGAATTGTGAAACATAAACTTACAATTGCAAGAAAAAAAGTCTTGAAGAATTGTGAGATAAAAAGTCACAATTACCTTTTTTATGTTTTTATTCCACGGCGGAAACATTGGACATCTGCACACAATCATCAAATCTTCAAAATCTACAACAATCTTTATTCAGAGGCCATAAAAATACCATCAAAAAAAGAAGAAAAAAAAAGAATAATACAACCGTATTAGTTCATGGTTTAGTTCATGCTAGCTCAGGGCCATTAATTATTATTAACAGATACAAGTTTTGATTGAAAATTTAAATTCATGTAAACGAATGCCTAATGTTAACATAGGAAACCTCATTGTAAAGTGAATTTAACGTTGTTCATTTTGAGGAACAGTTCTGTTCTGATCAGATCTTAAACATCTAGTGTACAAGCTGCTAAAGTGAGCCAGCTGAAACGCTTTCTTTAAAGCAGCCAGCGTGTCCGAGTGAACTCAAAGCCTGTAGCGGTCTCGACCCGCCGTCACTAATGGGGTAGGTAAGTGTTAAGAGTTTGGCCCTGTGAGATGTAAGGTGCCTGAACTGGAGGTCTGCTGTGGTGATGTAACTGCTGTTTTACACTGATAATGATACACGCTGTCACCGACACAATGCACTCTGGGTAATAATTTGTAACTGGGGCATCTGCACGCCCTCCCTTACAGTTTTAATACTTCCAACTCTCTCTCTCTTTGTCTCCTGCTCTTTTTTTAGTCAGACATCAGCGAGACGCCAGAGTCCATAAAATGCAACACGGGACCCGTCTGAGCTGAGAGAGAGTGTAATACCTCCAAGAGAAATAAAGCTTGTGTCATCAAGCTAAAAAAACTGATCCTGTGATTTATTAAAGTAGAGTGAGAATGGAAGAGCGTTTTGTGAAATACATCACATCATGTCCCTTTCACAGGCAAATTGGTCACAATCTTTATTCACATAAGCTCTTATGTCACTACAGTCGTATCTGATTGTTTGATTGCCTAGATAAAGAAATGACTGTGGTAAAGCCAAATATTTGATCAAATATCATTTCCTTATTGAATATGACAACGCTATCTCACGACCAATTCGTACGAATTCGTACGAGTGATTAAAAGGTGGCTAATTCGTATTAATTCATTCGACCTAACTCGTGCTAATTTGTACGATTTGTCTAAACCCACGTGATGGGTAGGTTTAGGGGCGGGGTCAGGGGTAGGTCATTCGTACGAATTTGGTAACTCGTAAAATATGTACGAATTAGCAAAAATCGTACGAATTTGTATGAGTGAGGTCGTATGAATTAGTACGAATTAGCCACCTCGTAAAATTCGTACGAATATGACCTGAAGGAAACATTTAAAGGCATTAAGGTTTTGTAGTTGTTTACTGAAAATATTGGGTGGGCATTTCCTCTCTTAAATACTGTCACCCTCCTTTTTTGAGCATAGATATGAACATGAATGGTTGTAATTCATGATTTCTCTGGAATACAGACCTTATAGGCTGGTCTCTTTTTAAAGATATTATTAGTATTATATTATATAAGTATTACAGATTATTCAGTGCTTTGAAACACGGAAGCCCAAACTAAAACAGCTGCTCTTTAGATATAAAAAAAAGAGTGTATAAATGCACTGATATGTAGTACCCCATCATTTAAAAAAGCCTAGGCTATATATTACAATCAGGCCCGCAGTGTATGTTCTCGCTAAATTTCTCCAAACATAAGATTGTTGCCTATCATAATAGTAGAATAAGTAGGCCTACCCCTTAGGCCTACTTCTAAAAAACGTATTCAAATAATTAACTAATTTTCCTGGTTGTTTTCCCTTTTACCGACACGTACATACTTTATAGGTAGCCCACACTACTGAAAGTTACGATGTAAAATCGTTTTACTTACGCAGTGCTTTGCGGGCTGTAGCAACACAGTCTCATCCCAAGGCGTCATCTAACTGACGCTTCTGACCATGCGTCAACATGCCGACGCACACACCACCCCCCAAACGTCAACATGAGACGCTCATCCTCGGGCGTCATCAAATGCCGCGCACCCTTTAGCGTCAGTTAGATGACGCTTCCGTTATGGGTAGGTTTAGGTCTGGGGTAGGGTTAGGATTAGACCACTAGGAGGCACGTCTCATATTGACGCTCAAGGGGTACCCTGTGCGTCGGCATATTGACGCATGGCCAAACATGGTCAAAAGCGTCAGTTAAGCCTTGGGTGTGAGACTGGGCTGGCTGTAGGCATTACGGTAGCTTTAAGTGAAAAAATTAAAGTATAAAAAAGTTATAGAAGTTTAATTTAACTGCAAAGGAAATGTAATGAACTAAACATATTCAACGCTATCGCACGACCAATTCGTACATATTTTGCGAGGTGGCTAATTCGTACGATTTGTCTAAACCCCATGGGTGGGTTTAGGGGCAGGGTTAGGTCATTTGTACGAATTCATACGAATTATCCACCTCGTAAAATACATACGAATTGCCGTGAGATCGGCTTGATATTTTCTGTTATAGCCTACAAAATATATATTTTACAAAAATAATTTGGACTCTAAAATTGCTAGAGAAAAAAAGCCGTAGCCTATGTCTAACCAAGTTGTGTTCCAAATTTAAAGTTGGTATCACATAAATTGTGCCTAGCCTACTAAAAGGATTATACGAATTATACCTAATGTGTGATGATTACTAAAATATGTGATAGGGAAAAAATAAGAATAAAACGTGCTTGTCTTCACCACAGACCTTTTTTCAGGCTTTTAACCACAAACCCATTCAAAAACTGTTGTGTTCACACCGAACGCGAATTTAATTATTTGCGCGAGTAGATTACATACAAAGTCAAAGACGCGAATAGACGCATCATTCGCGCCGGGCGTCGCGAATGACGCGAATTGCGCGACGCGTTTACCGAACGTCTTTCGCGCAAGTTGAAAAATTTGAACTCTTTGAAGATTCAAGCGTCTAACTAGACGCGTATTTGACGCTCTATTTGACGCTCTATTCGCGTTCGGTTTGAACACACCAGACGATGGAAGCGGAAGTGCTAAAATACTAATTCGTTTATGGGTTTCGGCCTACAAAAATATGCCATCCCTGCAGCACTCCATGGTTCTGGAGAATGAATCAAATATCTGACTATGACAAAGATGTCCGTTTCATCAGCCTGTTCTCACGTAAATGCGTCTCTATAGCACGCATTGTGTTTTATCGTGCAATTTATACGCGAAAATGAGTTTTTACGTGCATATGATACGCAGTTTTCGCGTGCATTTGATACGCAGTTCATTTTCGTGTAATACACACGCACCCCACAACACTAATTCTACCCAAACGTATAATACACACGCACCCCACACCACTACTAAACCTACCCTAACCAACCCATGCGTATGCACATAAAAACTCATTTTCGCGTATAAATTACACAATAAACACACT